GGCCTGACGAGGATTTATCGAAAACAAACGTATGTTCGCCAATTTATCTTCTCAAATCGTATTGAAAGCAACTAGTTTTCATAAGGATAGTGGTTGGGTATTTTTCGAAGCAGGATAGGTATACACTCTGCAGACACGGCCGGGCCCTTAATGGGCAACATGCGCAAGTTAAAAATTAGTCATATATTAAAGGGGTAACATGATTGGAATTACCATTGAAGAAGTATTTCTACTGCAATCAACACGGTTAAAAAATAATAACATCTAATGGGGAAAATATTTTTATTATGTTTCTCTAATTAACTAAATGGTAGCAATAAGATACGTGTGAGGAGTATGAGCAATGCCACTATAATGCTTTATCTAGCTAAGATCTTGATTGGCTTCAATGTATTATACGAAACTCATGTACTGCTCGGCCTTCTAACGCATCGTGGTAAGTCAGACGTCAAACTAAGATTTCGCCTTAGAAGGCGGGAATGGTTGCTTATTTTAGTGTTTATTATGTAATTTATAAATTTTGCCGACGCCCTTTACCTTAAGACAGTAAAATATTCCAATTTATTCACCTTTATAGATAACTTTCTTGGGTTTTGTCCCATTGACGAAACTGTGACCTACTAATGAAGATTGCAGTTTTGCCTGGGTAAAGTGTTAGGGTGTCCAAAACCTCCGTTGTTCTCTCAAATTGACCAACAATTAGCGGAGGTCTTGAGGTTGGCACAGATTTGCAAAATAATTTATTCCTTTGGAAAAAATTAGAAATTAGTTCTTTCATATGCATTATAATTGAGCCAGCACCTTACATCATTATGATCTATGCTGATATGGTTGCTCTCCACAAACATCCCTGGACGGTAATATCGGACGGAATCTTCATTAGCAAGAGGACTGTCCACCAAACTGCTCATATTTATTTTCTTTCGTCGAAGATATTACGTGTAAAAAATATTACCAATCTGCCACTATTCTACTGTTCAGTAATATATTTGGCATTACAAATAAGTACTGAACATCTGGTACCTGTTTCGAGTTTTGCAAACTTGCATCTTTTTGGTTTGTAGTTCAATACTTAGCCGAGTCCTCTCTTCTGCGTTTATATTTAGTTCAGCACGTAGGTTATCCATGAACATTTGTAAGTCGAGTTCCCTTTCTTTGGTAAAGACTTTCAATTGGAGCCGCTGCTTTTCCAAATCGAAGACCTAGGATTATGCAAACAAAACCTCATGAGAATACTATTTGATATTTAAGCAAAAAAGAGAAAGTACTTGTCAGAGTAGAGTGACGAATAGAAAATTATTTCCGACAGGGCTATTACCGCCGAAATTAAGGGAGTGAAAGTTACCTTTCAGTCCTCAGGTTTCTGCTCAGACAGAGAATTTGCTGGTTACTGGACAGGTTTGCAGAATTTACAACTAGGATGCTAATTAATTGCATATAGAAAAGAATACCTAGGCCGATTGCGATTTCCCGCCAGTGAAAACCGAGGTAAATGCCACCATGTTCAGCTTTACCAATTTTTTTATATGCTTATGGTTACTTAAGCTAAGACTAAATGGTCTGGAAAAAGTATATTTTGGCCTTCATATGCTCTTGTTTCTAAGTA